TTTCCGTGGCTGAACAATGACACAACCTTAATATACCTTATGCATCTCTCTATTTCATTTAATGTGTGTTTGTGTGAATTATCTGCTTTCATTCATTCTATTCATTCTGGGCATGGTCGTCATCCCAACTATGTTTCATTGTTAATACCAGTTTACAGGTTGTTATCCTTGCTATTATTAGTTTGAATACATTACAGTTAAGTCTAATTCAATTAGCCTTTTGGTTTATTTTAACTTTATTCCTCTTGTATTTATATGTATTCAGTCAGGGTCTGTTTCCAGCCCTTTTTAAACTTCTACTTTGATCTCTAATTTTTTACTTAGGTGAGGGATTATTATCGTTCTTCCTGATCTGAACTGCTCTCTTCACCTGAGCTACTATCCTGTTCTGAGTCTCTGTCTTCTTTGTTTGTTAATGCTTTTATTATTTTTTGCCTGTCTGCCTCTCCCTTTCATCTGTCTGGGTGGTGGCAGCCACAGTGGTTGCAGCCAGTCATTCTGTGCCGGGCGTTCTCTGTGTCTTACAGTCACGTGCAAGGCGTCCCTTTTTCCCACACTCCCAGCATCTAGTGTTAAAGCCACTGTTTGGTGTGTGTCTAAACCTGCCTCTACCTCTTGCTCTTCCACTATGCATTCCTCTCTCTTTCTTTTGGATTAGTCGTGCTCCGGCTTGCTGTTTTTCTAGACATTTCTCATCAGGTGTTAATTTTACTTGTTTATCACCCATTTTCAAAGATTTTGCTGGGCCGTCGCTGGCACGCTTGACTTCAGAGTGGTTTACTGATACGGCCTTCGACTTCACCCTAACGGTGAAGCGGTATCAGTTTTATGAGATGAAACTCAACCGTTCTCCTTTGTCACCAGCACGTGAGCCTCAGCAAAGAAAACAAAAATGGAAGTAGTTCAGCAGCGTATTGTGCTGTAAAATCAACTTACTTCCAGACACATACACACACATAGACATTTGCGAGCTAATTTGTCACGAGATAATTTCGGCTACCTCTAAAACTGGTCAAAACACGGTTCCTTTTGGCGAACTTAAACTATTTTAATTCCTTATTTCACGTTTCTTAAAACCTTTCGGCCGTTTTATACCAAAATAGTGTTTCTCACCCTCAGACGTCTCACTGGTGGTTCGGATCGCCAGACTGAATCCCACCGCCATGGACCAGACTAAAAACACCGGCCTGGACCCGAATTCTAACGTCCCAGGGCTTTCGGCCTCGTCTAAGAGGGCTGTGCACAGACTTCGGTGCTGGCTTCCCACGGCGTCAGGAATCAGTGCTGGATCCTGGAACAGAGTCACAGATAACAGTTCTGATGTTTCTGCCCCGGCTACGAAGGACCAAAATAAATGTCAAGAGATTTATTCTAAAAGACACTTCTTCAGCTGAGAGTCAGAGAGTAGAAAGACACACACTGCAGATTTTACTTGCAAGGGCACTCACAGAGCGCTCACATCAGAGTGGGGGCCCTGTGAAGTGTTTGCTCTCTTCTTGCACTTGTCTTTATTTATACACAAGAAAAATGAAAACATTTTTTCAGTGGAATGTTGATACGTGAGCATGTGCGTATGTGATTGTGTGTGTGTGTGTGCGAGGTCAGAACTGCTTGTTCAACTTCCCACTATCGCTGTGGGAAGATTCAGATAAAAATATCAGAACATGTTTTATAAAGGACAATCAGTTCTAAGCAAGGAAAAGGTCATCATGCAGGATTCTATCACATGTAAACTTATATCATTAAAAGCTTATACTGACTACAGTACAATTTTCCATTGACAATTAACCTTATGAACAAAATAAAGTTCAACATCAGTAACATAGCACCCACCCAGCTGTATAGAAACTCCGTCATGCTAGCTAGCACGCAGTACGAAGAAGTCAGCGTAAGGAAAAATCAAACTCCACCTAAACTTGGTTTATTGATCGCATGTGCAGGCACACTGGCACAGCACATGCGAGTGAAATTCTTGTGTGCGAGCCCACAAGCAACAGAAATGTGCAAACACAACAACACAAACCAGCAAATAAAGAAAATAAACTCCACCTAAACTTGGTTTATATCTGACCCAGATAGACTGCAGGTTATAACTTCTTAACTGAAGTTCAGTTCACCTGACACTCGGGCCGGCAGTCTCTCTTCCTCCTGCGTCCCCTTTCCTTCATCCACCTGCTGCCTCCACCACTTGTTAATGTTACTGAATCTGTGGAAGCTCCGCGATAGCCACCACACGAAGTAACAAATAACGACCCTAAATCCCAGTAACGATTAACGCGTTCCTGATTTTGCCATAATAACTAGTTACCGTGCTCGTTACCACAATAATAACGTAGTTACTAAAACGTGTGACTTAATAACGCGTTAGTCCCAACACTGGTTGTGTTTACAGACAGAATGAAATGAAAATACTACCAACAACATGAGCTCCTTGTTGAAGGTAATAACAAACTGCTGAAACTATTTTGTGCTTTGGTTTACACGTGATTTACACAAGTGAACCTGTCCCTGTGTTCATAGTGCTCACTGTTCACCTGATGAATAGACCAAGGAATTCTAGAAGGTGATCAGACTGGATTGTCTGGTTTTTCAGTGACTCATTAATTCTTGTCTCAGTTCCTGCTCGTCTCCAGTAAGTGACTTCACTTTGACAGCGACAGTTTGGATCACTGTGTCGGAATCTGGGGTCTTTATCTGTGGTAAGTCTATTTTTTTATTTGTTCGTTTTGTTTTTCATTTGTTTTGAGTAAGAGAACAAACAATCAAGAACACAAAACACTAAAAATAAATTTCAAAATTAAAGCTCATAGTCTAAGCTGATCTGTGTTTCTGGTGAGTGTTTGATGGGTCACCTCCAGCCTTGGCTGAGCCTTTGTGCTTTTCTTTAATGTATTTGCCAAATAGAGATAAAATACAGAGCTGACTGCAGCAGCTCAAGAGCTGGAGAAAGGAAAAACGAGATTGAAGAATGTCTACAGAAAACTGAAGGACTTTCAAAGCTATCAAATGAAGGGATTCGAATAATAACAGCTGAGGATAAACAAGTGAAGACAATAAAGAGACTGAAAGATAAGAAGCAGGGAAACACAGGCACTCAGAGAGTAGTGCAGGCAGATTCCAGGAAATCTAAGATAAGGCGAATTTTCTGTTCAGCCAGAAAGACATGCCAATATCCTCCCAGCAACCAGTCTATTCATTTATGCCCTCCATAATGGGCATTTCTTGATCTATACCTTTTAAATTATTTAAGCTACCCTACTAAGTCCTGATGTACGAAATAGAGAACATCCTGGGCTTTCCATTGATATTGTCACGGTCTGGCTGGCAGACCGTGGGGAGACGGGGAAATAGGACCCAAACGCCGGACTCTTCAGTGCAACAGTGTTTATTTACAAGGTGGTGAAGTAAACAACAATAAA